CTAATTTTTAAAAGAAATATTATTGAAATGTTTGTGAGGTTAGGGTAAAAGTGTTGTTGTTTCTTATCCCCTTGTTTAAAGATTACACGAATTCCATGAGTTCATGATCTCATGGAATGGGGTATAGGGGTGCAGCTTTCGTTGATCATGGCACCATGATCCAGGCACACTTTGGTGAAAGTCTGACTTTGCCTGTAATTTGAGACTGTTCATAACATGGAATCCTTTGCTGCTGATTCTAACATGAGTACAGACACAGCTCCTTTGTATTCCTGGAGTGGCACCCTTGCTGAGGACCATTAACCAGGTCAGTTGAACTCAGGATATTTCATTTTAAAATAGTTGGACCAGGTGTGTCAACAAATGGGTTCAATTAAAGAGACTTACTTAGGGTAAAAAAGTGTTGTAACCGTAATGTATTTCATAACTATATAATGACACTTTGTTATCTAGCTATCCTATACATATTGCTCTCTATTATTTTTTTCTTCCTAGCCCTCTCATTCTTAAATTGTCTTTTTGTGCTCCCTATTAAAGATTATGGAGTTTTTATATGGGCCAATACCTTAAAATGTTTTATTATAATGAAGCTGTATGTTTGTCAATGATATTTTCTCCTTTATATATATATTTTATTTAAATAAAAAGGCATATATTGGATCAAAATATCATTTATTTTACCAAAATTTCAGTTGGCTGAACGCCAACCTTTATCGAGGTGTTTATAACATATTTAATGTGTGTCCTTTTCAATGTTACACACTAAGTACTATAATAACTACAGTTAAACCTGTCTATAGTGCCCCCTCTAAATAGCACCTTCCTCTCTATAGCACCTGATTTTAAATACGTAGTACGATGCGATTTACATTAAAAGTGACCTGTCTATAGCACCCCCTCTAAATAGCGCCTTCCTCTCGATAAGCGACCGATTTTAAATACGTAGTACGATGCGATTTACATTAAAAGTGACCTGTCTATAGCGCCTCCTCTTTATAGCACCCTATTTTGGTGAGTCCCAAGAGGGGCGCTATAGACAGGTTTAACTGTACTAATGTACATGCTTGTTCAGCGTTACATATACTATAATTGGAATGATACAGAGAAGATTAGCATGACCCCTGTGCAAGGATGAGACACAAAATCATAGTGGTGGCGGTGGCATTAGAGAAAGGAGTAGAATTCATTGGAGTATTTATATGTCAGTTGATGGGACATGTGATGTAGGTAGGAATGTTAGCTGGACATAGTGGGATTCATGTCTTGGGTACCAGGAGTTCAGACATACTTCATCTGTCCCATCCAAGGGTCACCCCCCCCGCCACTTTGAAGCAGTTAACAGGTCTTGGAGTCTATGTTACTAAGCAGTAAAAAAATCTTACTAAAATGAACCAGAGATATAGCAAAGACCTTCCCTTATAATGAACTCAAAAAACAATCCCCATATGAATAATACCGTATAAATTCCCATATGAATGATGCAGTATAGTGAGAACCATGGCTAAAAGTGAATCAAATATAATTGATAAACCTCTTTAATTCAACGCCTACTTTAATTCAGCAATTATTTTCTCAAATCTCAATAATTCAACCAAAAATTGTGGATCCTATAAGGTGTTAAATTAAAGAAGTTGGGCTTTATACTGTGTAACTTCAACAAACTATAATTCAACACCTACCACAATTCAACACCAACTACAATTCAACCCGTCTTCTTCTTCTTCTTTCTTATCTCCACACTGGGTGAAGTAGAATACGTCTGCCTTTGTCATTAAGACTGGGAGCACTACTCAGTGGCAGGCCGACTTAGCTCCAAAATAAATGGCCGCCTCTGACATGAGGAACAGACGCCATTTGCAGCCGCTCCTAACATGGAGTACAAACGTTGCTCATCCTGTATCCCTGGATTAGGAGCTCTTACAGGGTACTATCAGCCGGGCCAGCTGAGCCCAGGTTTTTTAGTGAGCTTGTTACTGCTCCCCCTCCTTTTTCATCCGGGCTTGGGACCGGCAAGGGTGGAGTTACAATTCAACCCGTACTTTAATTCAACCATTTTTTAAAATCACAATAAGGTTATTTTCTTTAATTCAACCAAAAAATCTGGATCCTTTGAGGTGTTAAAGAAGTTTGTCTATATACTGTGTAACTTCAACAAACTATAATTCAACACCTATCACAATTCAACACCTACTTTAATTTAATCATTTTTTTCATATCCCAATAAGGCTATTTGCTTTAATTCAACTAAAAATTCTGATCCTTTGAGGTATTGATTTAAATAAATTGGACTCTATTTACAGTGTATAACTTCTTTAATTCTACAGACTATAATTCAACACCTATATATACAGTAGAACCTCCCTTTAGCAGACACCCCGCTAGCAGACACCTCTCTACAAAGGACAGTTTTCATTTGCAAAATTACCATTTTTACAATTTAGCAACTCTCCGGTAAGAGGACACCTTTCCCTAAAGGACACTTTGGCTCTGCAATTAGGTGTCTTTTACAGGGAGGTTCTACTGTACTTTAATTTTTCCAACTTTAATTGAGAACCTACTTTAATTCAACCACTGCCTCAATTCAACCAAAAATTCTGATCCATTGGGGGGTTGAAGGCAGACTGTATACAGTCCCATTAAGGTCTGTTATAATGAAACGTCTGTTCCTCATGTCAGAGACGGCCATTTCTTTTGGAGCTAAGTCGGCCTGCCACTGAGTAGTGTTCCCAGTTTTAATGACAAAGGCATTCTACTTCACCCAGTCATGATGGTTGTAAAACAGACACCATCAAGGATCATAACTTGATACCCTAATATGATTGAGTGGAGATAAGAAAGAAAGAAAATAATGATACTGATGTATATGTGTTATAATGTGTTATATATCTTATTATATTTTAAGAGATAAAAAGGGGGAACTTTTCTAAGAGAGATGTAAAAATAAGTTAATTATATCAGATATATATATATATGTACAGACTATATTTATATATATGATTGGAGATAAAACACATTGTTTATTGATAAGGCACAATTTGGATTATAGATTATAAACACAAGGTAATAAGACCAAATCCAAATAAATAAATAGTGTGTGATGTTTTGGTAACAGCGTTGTTACCATCTTCAGACTTTTAGATATGCTTTTAATTATATTTGAAAAAAATAATTGGATTTTTCCACTTTTAATTCTAAGGATAATATTCTGTGTTTCTCAGATAAATATCTTCTTATCTGTTATCTTGTTTACACACTTGATAACAGTAACTATTTAGAAACATGCTGTGGTAAAATTTCTCATTCAGTACTTTTGTCTGAAGATGATAACAACACTGTTACCGAAACGTCACACACCATTTATTTATTTAGATTTGTCTTATTACCTTGTGTTCACATTGTTTATAATAAATTACTTAAAATATATAGAAGATATATCAAATTTTGTTGCTCTATAGATTTTATTTGCTTATACAAATGCATTTCTATATCCTGATTCTTTAAAAATCAATTTCCTTTAACATTTATGCATTTATATTATTTACATATATATTATTTTTTAAAGATAATTATCTTTTTTATGATATTTGTTATTGAGCGACCATTTTTTTATCATTACTCTCTTCTCAACTCTATTCTTGGTTGTTGTACTCAATATTTTCTTTGTTAAATATTACTGATAAGTTTTTTTTTTTTTTGGCTCTTGTATTATGCTTGTGCCAAATAGGGAGAAAAGAAAGGCATTTGTTGAAAGAATTTTGCAAATTTTTGGAAAATAAAAATTTATTGTTTTTTTTTTTTTGGTATAGTGTGGTTTCTTTTTAAACAAACATTCATTTTATAGAATATATATTATCCCGCATACGTTTTCTTTTGAACGAAAAATTGAAATTTATTTTTAAGGAGAAATAACGATTATTTCTAACCTTAGAGATGAAGTATGAAAGGATGAATTGTGAAGAATAATGATAAGAGTAATTTCCGTTCATCATTACTCTTCACAATTCATCCTTTCATACTTCATCCCTAAGGTTAGAAATAATCGTTATTTCTCCTTAAAATAAATTTCGATTTTTCGTTCAAAAGAAACGCATGCGGGATAATCTTCAAATATCGTTTTACAATCATAAGCTGGATTATATTCTATTATAGAATATATATATATATATATGCCACATGTATATGTAATATTTAACGATTACCTTTTTGAGATTGATTGAGTTGTTGATTGATTGATATATGATTGTGGTGGGCGCAGTCGTTTGCTGAAGTAGTAAGGTATTCACACAGGGGAAAATAACGAGGACACAGGATTGGATTGAAATAGGCCAGCGATCAAGGGAGAAAGGGGTTTAAGCTATTTGGCGTATTTGACTATTAACTATGGTTGTTTCACATTATTGAGGATTGGACTTATCTGATTGTTGAGAAGCTGGGTGCTGGACTTGTTTCGGTGGTGCCGAGCTCCTAACTAAACTGAGTCCGAGCTTTAACACGAAAACTTCTCAGGGCGCTGATTGGACGATTGTCGACTCGTGTAAGTTTTCCATTGGTTCCTAGCTAATCCTCCTGGGCTCTGATTCGATCTTTGCTAATCCTTTGTCCTTGTCTTGTTCTAACATGCTCCCGGAAACGAAGGTTCTTGAACTCAGTTTTTATGAGTTCCTGGATAATAAAACCTGCTAATGACCGTTTCCTTTCTGATGGCCTTTCTCCCAGATTTCTAAGCCTTGTCTTTATTAAAAATCTTTAGATCATACATTGCATACATATTGTGGTGGGATTACATCCAGTTATGTACAAATTATGACATATATATATATATATATACAATCATTTTATTCGCGATTGAATGTTGTGACACACTGTATGTATTACATCCCAAACACAATGCGATGCCAGCCATCTCTGTCTTGAGCCCGATGTACCATCTCTGTCACTGTCAAGCCAGTGAGTACCACATGTATATAGTTAGATAAAATATACGATTCAAACTAAAAAGATGACAAAACATAGGTTCAACCCAGGAACATTTAGATCCTCAGTCTAAAGCTTTCACAGCTGAGCTATTTCACCTTTAAAAAGGAAAAATATGATTCAAACCTGTTGTCATGGAGAAAATATTTACCCTTTTTGTAATATAAGTAAGAGAAAACTTATATTTTTTATTTCACAAAACATTTACACTAAAGGTTAAGAAGAAATATGTTTACCAATTTGAGCATCATCATGTCTCTATCCTCTGATTATACTCAACTAACTAAAAAGTACACACACAGAGTATGCAGAACTTTTCCTTACAATAATTAAATTTACATATATTCAATTCATAAAATAAATTAACTTTTCTTAAATAATATATTTACATATACTCTTTTAACTTATAAATATATAAATAAGATGATCACATACAACTGTTGCTTTTTTTTATATACATCCGTTAAATAAATTCCATGGGGCACCACTGTCATGAGGATCGCTTTTAGGCTTGAGCAGACTCCAGCAGACTCGTAGCTTGTTCTCCCCAATCCAATTTCTCACCAAGGACACGTCGCTGGTAAGCTTAGTCTTGGCTGAGCAGCCGTTAGTGATGGAGCTTCCCCTCGTGTCTCCCGCCAGCTGCGAATTACGGTCAGTAATTCGATTTTTGGCCGCAAAGAAGAATTCGGCGAAGGACATTCATACTGAACTCTGTCAAATGTATGGAGAAAGGTGTTTGAGTTACAGGATGGTGCGCAGATGGGTCCACGATCGTGGGTCCACGTTCACGATGAACTGTGTGCTGGACGGCCATCGGTTTCAGATGAAACCATTGCCAAAGTCGAAGCGGCAATGCTTGAAGATCGACGGATTACTGTGCGGAAGCTCTGCGATTTGGTTTCTGATGTCAGTAAAACCACCATCGACAAGATTTTGCGTGAACATTTAGGGTATTCAAAGGTCTGCGCAATATGGGTTCCGAAAATGCTGACTGAAGACCATAAACGGCAGCGGGTTGATGTGGCCCAGACATTTCTCGATTGCCACAAAACTGACGGAGAGGAATTCTTGGATTCGATCGTTACTGGTGATGTGACATGGGTACACTACTCCACACCGGAGACAAAGGAGCAATCCAAGCAGTGGAATCACATTTCTTCGCCGAAACCTCTAAAGTTTAAACAAACACTTTATGCCGGGGGAAACTTATGGCTACCGTCTTTTGGAACCGAAAGGGCCTATTGTTGTGCGACTTTATGCGTCGGGGTACAACAATCAATTCCGATCGGTACTGTGAGACCTTAAAACAACTTCAACGCGCGATTCAGAACAAGAAGAGAGGGATGTTAACCAAAGGGGTGCGTTTTCGCCACGACAATGCTCGGCCGCACACCGCCCATCAAACCACTGCCCTCATCGAAGAATTTGAATGGGAATTGGTGTCACACCCACCTTACAGCCCGGACGTAGCTCCTAGTGACTTCCATTTCTTCCCCGAGTTGAAGAAAAACCTGGGTGGAACCCAATTCCAGGACGATGACGAGTTGGAAGAAGCGGTTTTAGGCTTTCTACGCGGCCAGGCGGCAGAGTTCTTTGACTCTGGGTTCCATAAGTGGGTGTCCCGAATGCAAAAATGTGTCGAACGAAACGGGGAATATGTAGAAAAATGAAAAAAGTCTGATATTTTTGAAAATGTATAGTTCAGGGCAAATAAACCTGTTTACCTGTATGAAAAACCTCTGTGGAACTTATTTAACGGACAACCCTCGTAATTCTTATTATTAAGATCTTGGAAAATATGATAAGTAAAAATAGAGAAATCTGTATTTAAATCTTTAGATAATGGTGGTGGTGGTGTCTTGTCCATGCACCCTGATCACAATACCAGCCAACAAAGGTACCTTGTTCATATGGATGTCCTCTTTTGGATTGATGGCTGCCATATAGAGGGCTGCAAGGATGGCCAGACAACTATATCTTTAAATAATAACATAAATCTCGTATTTAATTATATAGATAAGATTTTAGTATGTTTAACAGACTTTTAAATTGAATCACATTCAAATCTGCGGAGCATGGCTCTAGTTTATGCACTTAGAGACCACATAGGTGTGACTTCACTTAATACTTGTTCCTTGAGGCACACTGGAGAAAAGTATGGATAGAGATTTTTAAAATGTCGATTTAATTCTTGATGCTTCATAACTGCAATGGCCATTCATAGTGAAATGATTGGGCTGGTACAGAAAATGTCAATAAATTCATAAGCCTGCAAGTGAGGAGATAGCATTCATACATATCTTGCTATTCTCAATAGTCCTTTTTCTGAAAATAGATGTCATATCTTCTCTATGCTTAGATTTAAGTTTTCAATTTTTCTGACTCTCTCTGTTGTAGAAGCTGGGCCTACCATCTGCCTTCCTAGGGTGGGTTGCTTCTCTCTACAGGGGTAGCAGATGCCGCCATCAGGGTTCAAGATGTTTACTCCAAGGCTCTCCTGCTTCTCAATGGGGTGATGCAGGGCTGCCGCCTCAGCACTGCCCTTTTTAGCATCGGAGTTGGGCCTCTGCTATGCTGCCTCGAGTGAAACTTGGGCTGCGGATGTGTGGTTGCCTATACATCGTACTCTAATCAGGGACGACGTTCAGTTTAAGCACGTGCCCCTGATCTTTGAAGAGTTCCGCATGGCCTATGGGACGGCTTTCAACTTCGTCAAGAACTGCAGGCTCTGGTGTAGTTCCTGGAAGAACCGGACGGATTCTCCTCTCAGAATCTCCTTAACGTCCAAGTCACTGAATGTCTTGGGCTGCACGATCACCACCAGGAACACCGTCGCTTCCCATGCCTTTCACTTAATGGGACTGATGGAGCGAGCCATCGCGAGGGGGACTCCCTTCACTCGTGACCTGTCGCTAGTGGGTCGTGCCCACGCGGCCAACAGCCCTGTCCTGGATTCCATCCTGCACCACTTCCACCGCTGCGTTCCACCTGAAACTACCATAGGCCGGCTGCAGGCGCGGTGGCGCGCTTTGTGTGAGGTCTGAGCCGAGTCTTGTGCATCCTGGTTCCCCCAGTATCCAGCTCCAGCTAGGCTACCTGAAGGGGATCTAGGCCTCAATTCGCCATGACGCCAACGGCTACTCTTTGCTGGTCCGCAGCCGGTCGTGGGCTCCTGACGTCTAGCTCTCACAGAGAAGGAGACTTCTAAGCCTCTGGGAGGACATCTCAAGCGTCATTAAGCTGAACCACTGGGTTTTGCATCCCGCCAGTCTAAGGCCCTGCGTTTTCGAGGCGACAACAGGTGATGCGGCCGCCAGACATGCTGGCTCCTGAACGCTGGCTACAGGCGAATGTCAGTGACTTTTCCGATGGCGCCACTGCCTTAGCGCGCTCAACGCGGATCGCGCACTTGGGAGCCTTCTGCCAGCGTCTCCTTCAGTAAAACACCAGCTCTAATCATTAAGTGGAGCACGAGGCGGAGACCATCGTCCTTCGGGGATCGGCGACGCCCATTACTCTCCTTAATAGCCAGAGGGCGCGCAGGTGCATCCTGTCCAAGAGCTTTTGGCGAGCTGGGCTACCACCGTGGAGGTGCCCGTTTCATCTCATGGGGTGACCTGTGTCGCAAATGCTTTTCGGGGCAAGAAGCAGATGTCGCCCTACGACTGGACCTCCACGCCCTACTCCATCCTGCATCGAGACGTGTCACCTATGCCGCCTGTGGGTCCAGCGACGGGTCACTGACCCACAGATATTGGAGTTGCCGAGCCGTGCGACCCTGCTCCGGGAAGTGTTCACCTCTTACGAAGTTTCCCTCGATCTGCAGGCTTGACTCTTCGGCGTCGGCCTCCATTTCGAGGCAATGAAAATGACAAGTGTGGCGAAGGCCACCATCTATAAGTTACATCTTGATCTTGAGTTGGGCAATATCAGTCATCACATCGACCTGCCCACTTTGTGGGAAAGAACTTTGGCGGCCCATCGTTTTGCGCGTGGGCGTAACCAATGAAGACTTTGTGTATACTTATTATATATCAATTATTCTTATATATTTTAATTTATTATACAACTATATGTTTATCTTTATATAATCCTATTTATCAATTTTGTATTTAACCCTATATAACCTTATTTGGACATAAAGTAGTCTCAATCTCTCTCATTCATTATTATATATATATTTAGTCCAATCAAATAAATTTACAAATTTGCCCCTCCATGTCATAATTTTAATGAAAATATCATTAACAACAAAATTTATTATTATCTGCAGATATTCAATAAAGATAATGAAAGAGAAGATAATAATATAATTATAGTTGGTGATATAATGGATAAACTTGCACTTTCATTGGACCTTGGATGATGCCTATATTTTTATTTTAGAATGAACCTTGAGATATTTCAGCAGAAGAGAGACTAAGTTAAACCTTCAATTGCCCAATCTATTTTAATATTAACATGCATTTTAAATAATACATAGGAACCTTATCGAGAAACCCCTTAAAATATGAATATCCCTAGTTTTTCCAGAAGATGGCCTTTCATTGAAAGTAAAGTCAATTTCGAATTCACAAAAAGTGATCATTTTAGTGGTGGGTAGATAATGCGAATATAGAATTTACCATAAGTAATTTCGATTAATTTTAAAGTTCTTTAAAATATAGACAGTCAGAATCAAGCCTCAAGAACAAAGGCAATATTGATAAAAGTACTGTATCCTCATCCAGCCCAGAAGTCTAACCCCTCCTCAATGTGTTGGGGCACGTTTTTTGTAACCATACCCCAACAGAAGGCGTATGTATAATCAAATCAAATGGATACATGGCTTCCCTCCCACATAGACTTACAGACCATTTTTTTTGCCCAGAAACTTAGACACTTGGTGACACCAGACTTCCATGCCGAAAGCTGATGCCTGGTAAAGAAGAAGACATCCAGAGACATCCGAGCTGGAAACTGTTGTTTCATATGTACATATATTCCCCTCACCAAAAATTTAGGTAAAGGTGACCAAAAAAAAGAGAAAAATGGAGAAGGAAGATCTCTAAAGACTGAGAAAGGAAAGCATCACATTACAGTCCAGGTAAAAGGGC